CACTTCAGGAGTGAGAGAAGGATATGGAGGGACTGGGTAGTAAGTATAATTAGGGTTCATGATGTAAAATTCCAAAAGATTCAATAAAAAATTATGTTAAATAAAAAAATTATGGGTCATTCACAGAAAATCTTAATTCTTGATATACAACACTTTATTATGAGTTGTTAGTCAGAAAGGCCCTATAGGCTCTCCAAACAATATGTAGTGCAGTCATTCCTCTCAGTTGTTGAACACAAATTAAACTGTAAGTCCCTATTGCTTAAGACACTTCATATCTTGCTTGTGTGGTGTTAAGAAATAATGCTGGACCTTACTTGGAAGATTCTTCCTAATAGCTAGTTTTGATAGTACTGGAAGCTTCTATTCAGACTGTTGGGAGAAAAAAGACATCAACAGTCTTACCTAGTTGGGAAACTTATTAACTATGAGACGAGCCTGACACAAAAGATGTGCTCACTTATAGAATACTGGGATAACTGTTAAAGGAATAACTATCTGCTCTGTGATTGGATTTGAGACCCACTCCAGAGATAGGAATCTTTACTACAATCTGCTCCAAAGACCAAGATCAGGTCAGAGGTTCCAAGTTAGAACTTAATTCTGTTTTAGACAAATTGACATAGCTTTGAGTTGCTCCCTAAATATACTTGTTTGCGCGTATACCATCATCACTCTCAGCTTTAATTATTGATTTTTTTCTTGCCAGGTTAATGTAGTAACTAAAGAAAATCTTACCCAAAATATCATGAGCATTAAAGGAAATAGAAACATATGAATAAAAAAATTATAATACATTTTTTTACAGATAGACCTAAGTAAAGTTCAGTAAAACAGAAGTTTGTAAGATCAATGTTAGATTAACATTTTATATTATAATAAAACGTATGTCTGATGCTTGAAAATAGAGTAATGTAAATACCTGTTCAAAAATAACATGAATGCTAAAACATATTTTTGTTTGTTTGTTTGTTTTTCGAGACAGGGTTTCTCAGTATAGTTTTGGAGCCTGTCCTGGAACTAGCTCCTGTAGACCAGGTTTGCCTCGAACTCAGAGATCTACCTGCCTCTGCCTTCCAAGTGCTGGGATTAAAGGCGTGCGCCACCACCACCCGGCACTAATACATATTTTTGCATTCAGAAAGAAATCAATGACAATCTTGAACAGAAAGCGAGTGTTCATGGATGATTACATAATACAGTAAATATGTCATCTCTAAATTTATCTATAGATTTTGTGCAATTCTTATCAACATGCTAGTGAGAAATTTTATGAATATGACATTAAAATATAAAGGCCTAGACTGGAGATTCCATAATGGTGTTGAAAAATAAGAATAAAGTAGAAATAAGTGATACCAAGATACCATGGTTAATCTTCACTGTCAAATTAACTAGAATTTAGAATCACCTAAGAGATAGCTAAATGGACATGCTTTAAGGGCATTTCCAGAGAAGTTTTATGAAGATAGAATTAAATGATCTTGACTGCAATGATTGAGGGCTGGCATAGTTACATGGATGAACAGAGGTGAACACCAAGCAATAAATGTTACTTATTTGTGAAAAATGTATGAATTCATTCTCCAGTGGAGGAACATTTATGGTTTTAATATCAATGTAGAGTTAAAAACCAAATCAAGCCACCTAAACTTGTAAACATCCATCAGTTTTGAGAAAACTGTCTTAAAATTGAAAAACTTGACCAAAAAAAATAAAATCACATGAGAACATCTTCAGGATCAATAGCCAGGAAAACTACTAAGTTTAAAATTGATACTAAAAGTGTTACAAAAGAATAAAAGTGAATAAATAAAACTTTATGAAGCAAGTCCACTCTTTAAAAGTAAAACATATTTTCAATTTTCATATCTGACATAGGACTCATGTAAAGAACTCTGGCAAATATGATATGGTGTTACATGTCATTAATCCAAGCATTGGGGAGGCTAAGACAGCAGGAACAGTTTCTATTACACAGTAAAACTGTATCAAAAACAAATTAATGCACAAAACCTAGGCTTTGTTAAATTTTTCAGTTTTACCATTTTAAGATTTTACCTATGTTCTAAGTAAGAGAAGCTTATGTATTGAGTCAAGGAAAATTCAAATTTGTAAAAAATCTTCATAAAAAACATTAGTTAATAAAGAACAGCAATTGGGAAAGAAGAAACCATGATCAGAATATCGACAAAAATATATAATAAAAACTAAAGCCCAAAATAAGACATATTTTTTTCTATTTTTGCACAAAATTTTTGTACATTTTTATATTAAGTAGTTCTAAACTAAAATAAACACAACATCCTGGACCTTGATTGTATAACTATCCTCTAAATATTCTTATATATAAACAATATACATTCACAATATATGTTACAAAACCAAAATATATTATTTTTGTCAAATATTCTCAATATCAATAACCTCTATTACTGTACTGATTCAATTAGAAAATGGACAAAGGAAGAAACATTTCAAGAAAGCTAATAGATAAGATGTTCCATATTACTAATCTTCAGGGAAATGAGATTAGGTCTACAATCAGATATCACTGTATACCCCCTGAGTATGATTGCAAGTAAAAATAAATTAAAGGCAACACAAAATACTGGAGGAACTGCGATATTCATATATTGGTGGTGAGAATATAATATGATCTAGACATTACAGAAAGTAGTTCTTAAATTTGACTCAGCAATTGCAATCTTAATTATTGGTTCCCGAGAAATGAATATATAACCCACAAAACTGTCTATCAATGATTACAGAAGCTGTATTTATAATTTTCCAAAATCTAGAAAGAATTTGTTGTCCTACAATGGATATGTGGATAAGTGGCAACACACTATTGCATTTGTGGCATCAGAAAAGTATAAAGGTAAAAGGAATATATAGAACACATTGGGCATATATAAGGGGATCAAGAGAAAGAGAATAATTATTAACCTCTTAAAATCACATATTTTATGGTTGCACTTACCAATGAAATTTGAAATGATAAGATTCTAAAAAAGGATAACAGAGTAGTGGTGTATAAAGATTATAGATTATGAAAGGAAAAAGATGTATGACATAAGAAATAACAGGAGAAATACCCATGAAGCTATTAAACAACATTGTATTTAACCATGACATTGCTACACAAACCTATATGCAATAATTCCACAAAATAATAAATGTACAGGAAAGAGTAAAATTAAAGCTGCAAGATTCTGAAGTAGACCTGTGAAACAAAGCTAAGTTTCCTAAATTTAATATTATGGTCCTAGTTTTCTTTACTGAGGGGTCTTAGAGGTAAAAAGATGATGAAGTCACCATCAAAGGGACTGTGTGACACAAAGTCATAATAGGCAGCTAACTTGGTTACTTTATTTGGTAAAATCAACAGAAAGATAAAATCAAACACTCAATTTCAATGACTAGTCAGTTTAGTTAGACCATTTATTTCAAATAAAAATGTCAGTTTGATAAGTCATTTTGGATGCAGTCTGAATGGACTTTACTGTCAGGAAATCCTAGAATGCATAAACTTTTACACGCTCACTTATTAAAATCCCATGCAAAATTTATTATTTGAGACATGTATTATAATAGTAAAAACAGTTTTGCCAGGTGCAAAAATCAATAGGTTATAAGAAAAAAATAGCATATCTTCAATTTTGGGATTTTTGATAATAATGGTAGTATTTGTATCTTATAGTTTCCAGAGCTATAAATCATCTTTAAAATGATTATGATATTATTCAAAGCAGATGTGAAAGCATATGTTTGCTACAGTTGTATAAACTGCTTACTTGTCATACTTAATATGTTAAGACTTACACAGTAACTTGTTCCCTTTCAATAACTGAAGCCTATTTGAGTAAAATACATTTTGCCTTACTATGTCAAGTACAATGAATAGAAGTGGATAGGAAAAGTCATTTTTTAAGGAAAACATTCCATTATAACTTAAATGTAGTTTAACATGCTAGCTACTGTCTACTAATGTCCTCATCATTATTTGATGTTCACATCAAACTATTTGTGCCATTTGAAAGCAATGGAAAAGGAAATACATTCAACTATGTATTTTATGAAAAAAATGTAATGTGTGTATATCCTCATGTTCCAGCAATGTTCAAAGAGCTCTGCCTTGCTAAAAAAAAAAAAAAAAAAAAAAAAAAAAAACAGGTGGTCTCAGGAACAAATTGTTGGATTATGAATGAAGTTTCATTCTTAACTAGAATTTCATTACCTGCATGAGTTTAAGCTCTAATATACTGAATCTGACTTGCTCCTTTCTGACAACTATCCTGCAATCAATCATATGCACAGTGCAGTCACAAAGGGCATAGTCTTTCCGTGTCTGGCTAAGAAAATACTAAACATGTGGCAAGGAAACCAACCATGCATCAATGAAATTACAGTCATACACTTTACTAAATTACAGCTAAAACGCTCATCTAGGTAATAATGAAGCAACTTAAGCCTCCAGAAGAAAGATACAGTTTTCCATTAATTTTCATCAAAGTGAATCTTGTGTCCTGAATAATGTGGACATTCTATTAAAAAAAGAAATATATATCCTTCGATAAAGTAATGGTAGATCATTTAGTGAACTCATGCAAAAGTATTTGTTACTATCCAACTCAGTGTAGCAGCAATAATGCATAGCTTACAACAAATGATTATATATCTTCCTGTATTTTTGTGTCTTTAGCTTTCAGTTCAAGGGAGAATCACTTGAAATTGTTATACTCCCTATTCTTTATAAAGACATCCTTTAAGTTATATGCTTCAGCAGATCATACACCAGGTTGAGGACATAACCTTCTGTACTCCAAAATAATTACTCAATAGATTATCTTGGTAAAGTTTAATTTGAAATGTCCAAAATTCATATTTCTTTAGAAGATGACAGTATTAATCTACTCTTACTTGGATAAGATACACAACAATGTGGCATTTAGTGTATGATCTTCATACATATATCAAATAAACCAAAATCATTTTACCTTTATTATCCCTTTGGAATTTTTTTATGGTTTGTCCATTATCTTGGTCAACAATAAGTTCTTCTCTATTGTTGGGTATCATAACTATAAATGAAAAAGGGAACTGGGTATACTTTCATGCAAAATAGGCATAAAATTTCTCAGAAGCACATAAATGGCTAACATAATCCAACAATTTATATGTATTTTAAATACTCCTGTAACAAAAGGAATATTTGCTGTGATAGCCATGTGTCTTGCAAATAAGTAAGATGATTAATCATGTGGTTTTTAAAGTATCATTCACATTTAGTACTAGCACTGTTGGTAATACATACTATTTAAATCATGTATGTATTTTCTCTTTTAAAATGAATATACAAATAAGTATTTAGCTCCATAAATAATGCATTTCTCAAAATATTTCAGAATATATATAATTTTTATATTTATGTATTTATATTTATTTATGAATTTATAAAAGAATTAATATATTATGAGACTAAAATAATTTTGCCTTTAAATTACTGTGGAAAGTTTCCCAAATATATATTAAATTGACAGCAGATTATAATTTTCTAGCACTTATTGTGAGTCTTTGCAAAACACTTATACCCAAGGAAGCAAAACATACTAATTTGCAATTTATCATTTTTTTCTATGTAGTCATATGTCATTGAAACATTACAGCTCCATAAATAAGATACAGTCACTTTACAGCTAAAATCTATTAAACATTTTCATTCAATTGTAGATAACATTTCTATCATACTTGGGCAGCTGTGAAATGTGCTTACAGTGACCAATCACTGTCATTTGTATTACGTATACACTATTTTTCAATAATTTTTCTAAGATATTAAGTTGTTTACAAAATATTTTATTTTACTTTATAGTGTAAGTTATACTTCCTCTTAGGCCATATCATTTAGTAAATATATTTACCTATGTGTTCAACTTTTATCCAGCACTCAATAATTGATTTTCTTTCTCCTTCACAGATACAAATTATATAGATACCTTTCCCATTTTCTTTCAGTATCCTAGTACCAAATTATCTCAATAGCATAATACATGCTTTAGTTTCCTGATTTATTAAAATTATTCAGTTATAACTTCTTTTCTTGCTTAGATTTCCTGTAATAATTTTCCTCAAGTTAGTAATAACTAGGTAGTCTGTGTCCATAAACTAGAGGAAAGATTAAATACTTCTTTTTGTAATAAAAATTAGTCACTAAAGATCAGGAACCTCAAGCATTAGAATCTCCCAAGGAAATACTGAAAATCAAAACATGTTTCTTCTCCAGCTATGTTCAAGATCAAGTGAATTAAATTCATAGTGTACTGAAAAAACTCCACAAGTGCTTATAATATAGATCTTGCTTTAAGAATCACTGAGCTAACTATGGAACTAGAAAGAAAGACAGTATATAGCACTGATACACAAAGATTTGGATGAAGTTCCATCAAGAAGAAATGATCTTTATCCTTTCAAATCACAAATCTAGAATGGAACACATATCTTAATCTCTGAAATTTCTTTCCTCCTTCAAATTTTAGTGTTTTGGAAAGGCCTAAAACAAGTACTACTATGAGATGTAGTAATCAAGAGGACATAAACCATTACCAAAGACAGTCTGTTGACAAAAAATCTGAAATCATTTTCCTTCAAGGATATATATACATAGGATACTGAATTGTGTAGACATTAAAGAATTATGTAATTTTACCAAGCAAAAACAATCCATAATTATTTAAACTGAGAATCTATTATAGCTGATTGCTCCTGACAATACAGATTTGTATAGATGAGTCAAATCATAAAGAATAAAACATTAAGCAAAGTAAAAAAGCAAAAACATATGTATCACCTTATATTTTCTCAGTCCTTTTACTTTATAAAGTGATTATTTCCCACCGAGTCATTGTTATATGATCTCACAATAATTCAGTGCAACAGGCAAGGAATTAAATACTTCCATATTATAAGCAAAGGAACTAATAATGTTTAAATGGTCTACCAAAACAATTTTAAAATAGTTACAATAAAAGTCCTGAGGACAAATTCAGGTGTCATATAGTCCCTATCTCAATTAATCTAAAGATCTAAAATTTAAGAATCAAAAATGTAGAGGAAAACTACTTTTCAACATTATGGCATAGTATATGTTGATTCTCTTTTTAGTTACTTTTAAATTACTGTCTGAAGGATATCTTATCTCAAATATCACAGAGATGCTGTTCATGTTATAACTATAGAAGATGGTACATATCAACATATTCATTTGAGACTTATATTGCACCAAAAAAATCTCATGGTATCTATCAGTCCCATGAAATTGAGGGTCACAATAAAGAAAGGCCTTTCAGGGAAAACATATTCTGACACGTTCCACTGTTTCCTCTATTAATTCAAAAACCATGATTACTTCAAAAGCCATTTATATGAAAGAAGTGCCAGATTCTCCAGGATCTTTCTCTTGTCAGAGTTGTGGGGTATGGAATTGCCTGCAACACTGTCTCCCAATTGCTTGTTTCAGGCCACTCACCCATTCTCTCTGAATGATGATCCATCTGGGATGGAGAGCTGGACACACTGCTGCTTGGGTGAGAGGAAGTCTGACTCCCAGGGTGATGATTCTCTTCCAGAGAGGGAGCAGGAGAAGGACTTTCTGGGATCCGCTCCTGATACAAAATGAAACACAAAATAATTCAGTTCACATATGCACTGAAATTATCCTAATGGTTTTGGCAATAACACTGGAAATATTCACCTCTCACTTATCCTGGAAGTGTACACAGAACAAGGTATGGACTTAAATACTTAAAAATTTTTTATGAAATTAATGCCATGTAATTAGAAGTAAATAATAGAAGGTGGTAAGTGGCTCTAAGGAATTTAGTTTTCATTCTTAAAATGAACTTTGGGTGACTGTTCAGACAGCAAGATGTCTCTATCAATTCTATAGATTTGGAAGTTGCATACAATGCACTTCCTGTTAACTTAGGTAATATATCCTTCTGGTGTCTTTGATGGAGCTGAAGAATAGCAATTTATTATTATATTTTTCCTTAGTTATGATAAAAGATAAAATAGATAGAAATATTATAACTGTAATTCTTACATGATACCTGTTTTGTTATAATTTAAATATATTTATTTAAATAAATATGTTAAAATTAAAACCTTCCTTTTTATTTAGACAGAAAAAGGGAAATGATGTGGGATTCCCCTCTGTATGCTATGAATATGTTTTATTATCATTGGTTATTAAAGAATCTGTTTTGGAAATGGCTTAGTAGAGTGAAGCCAGGCAGAAAACCCAAGCAGAGATATAGAAAATGTAGGCAGAGTCAGAGCTATGCCATGTAGCTGCCAAAGGAGACAGTCATCAAAACTTTTCCTGGTAAACCAGTCTCATGGTGACACACATAATAATAGAAATGGGTTATTTTAGAATATAAAAGCTAGCCAGTATGAAGCCTGAGCTAATATGCCAAAAGTGTTGTAATTAATATATTTTCTTTGTGATTATTCAGTGCTGGGTGGCTGGGAATGAAATACCAGGCTCTGCTTACACAATATATTTAAAATTAGCATTTGATAAGAAGTCTTCCACTTGAATTATGAACAGTTGGCAAAGTTTCTTTTTCGTTTTAGGTGTTTTCTCTTTAATTATTTGAAAGTTTTCTTTTCTGTACAGATTTTCAGATATGTGAAATCCCATTTATTGATTGCTTATCTTATGTCCTGCCAGAGTCCAATTCACAAAGTTCTTTTCTAGGCCTCTATGTTGAAGTATTCTCCCTAATTATTCTCTAGGAGGTTCATAGTATCAATTATTATGTTAAAGTCCTTGATATATTTGATGTTAAGTGTTATGCAGGATAAAAGACAAGGATCTAGTTTCATTGATCTGTATATATACAAACCTCACAGGCTCAGAGATCAACAATGAACAAGGGGTAGAGAGAACATAAGAACCAGAACACAATAAGAGCTGTGAAATGTCATCTTTGTGTATGTTATAGCCATTGTCGACACAAACTCAAAGAAGCTGCAGCTGCCTCCACTGGGTCAGCAGAATACTGGTGCTATAAACAATCAGTCATGAAACTGGCAGAAGGATCATGGGACAATATCCTGTCCTGATAACTATCGTTTACTGGGCAATCCTGAAAGAGTAGACATTATCTTTAACTGTGCACTCTTTCTTTTTATTAAAAATTTCCACCTCCTCCAACTTCCCTCCCCTCCCCTCCCCCAACTGCCCCTCCCCCTCCTTATCCAGGCCAAAGAACAGTCAGGGTTCTCTAACCTATGGGAAGTCCAAGGTCCTCCCCGCTCCACCCAGGTCCATCCAAACAGACAAGGCTCCCACAAAGCCCTTCTATGCAGTAGAATCAAAGCCCAGTGCCATTGATCTTGTCTTCTCAGTCAGCCTCCACCGTCAGCCACATTCAGAGAGTCCGGTTTCAACACATGCTCCATCAGTCCCATTCCAACTGGCCTTGGTGATCTCCCATTAGATGTGTCCCACTGTCTCAGTGGGTGAAAGCACCCCTTGCGGTCCTGACTTCCTTGCTCATGTTCTCCCTCCTTCTCTTCCTCATTAGGACCCTGGGAGCTCAGTGCAGTGCTGCAATGTGGGTCTCTGTGTCTATCTCCATCCATCACCAGATGAAGGTTCTATGGTAATATGCAAGATATTCATCAGTGTGGCTATAGGAGGAGGCCAGTTCCAATACCCTTTCCTCTGCTGCTCAAGGAACAAGCTGGGGACATCTCCTTGGACACCTGGGAACCTGTCTAGAGTCAAGTCTCTTGTGAACCATAAAATGACTCCCTTACCTCAGGATTCAGCAATTCCACTCTTGGAAATATACCCAAGAGATGCCCAATCATACTACAAAAGCATTTGTTCAACTATGTTCATAGCAGCACTATTTGTAATAGCCAGAACCTGGAAACAACCTTGGTGCCCCTCAATAGAAGAATGGATAAAGAAGGTGTGGCACATATACACTTTAGAGTTCTACTCAGCGGTAAAAAATAATGACATCTTGAATTTTGCATACAAATGAATGGAAATAGAAAACACTTTACTGAGTGAGGTAACCCAGACCCAAAAAGAGGAATATGGTATGTACTCACTCATAAGTGAACTCTAACCATAAATAAAGGACATTGAGCCTATTATTCGTGATCCTAGAGAAGCTAAATAAGAAGGTGAACCTGAAGAAAATCATGTAGTTATCCTCCTGGATATTGGAAGTTGACAAAATTGCCGGGCAGGGGTTAGAAGCACGAGAGTTGGGGTGAGGTGGGGATAAGGGGAGATGGGGGGAGAGAAGGGGGAAGGGAAGGATGGGGAGAGCTTGAGGGAATGGGATGGTTGGAATGAAGGGGGGGGTGGATGTGGGAACAGGGAAGTATATAACTATGTACTCTTTGGTGTACCACTGAGCCCAGCTCTGATAGAAAGTTCCAAACCCACAGTTATACAGAGTACTTTGTTTAAATTCAATGAAGCCATAAAACAAACAAAAGAGATATGAATTTGGTAAAGTGATTGGTAAGGAGTGAGGAGAGGGATAGTGGATGAGAGTGATTAGGGTGTTTTTTTTACATATGTATGAAGATGTCAAACAACAAATTCAATTAGTAAAATACAGAGGGAAGTATTAGCCATCTTACTAACTAGATTTTAATATTGTTATTAATATCTAAAATGTTAGGATACAACAATAAGAAGAGAAATAAAACTTGTCAGAAATAGTTTATGTTTTGTTCCAAAAATGTTTATTGTAAGGATATAATTTGGTCAAGGTTTTTTGTTTTGGCATTATGAACTTTTATTGATATGTCTTATTTAAAGAAAATATTATCTTATGAGCAACTCCAAATATCTTTGCATGGTTATAATTGCAAACATTTGTTAACATATAAGGAAAACTTTTCAGACTTTCACTATTGATGCTTGGTGTGGGACAATTTTGTATTCTGTCAATTATGTTTTAAATAAATGCTGATTGGCCAATAGCCACGCAGGAAGTATAGGTGGCAGAACCAGACAGGGAGTAGAGGTGGGGCAATGGGAACAGGAGGCTTCTGGGAAGGAGAAAGCCCACTCCTCCCCAGTCCCGTCCAGACACCAAAGAAGCAGTATGCAACCTGCCCCATTGAAAAGGTGCTGAGTCATGCGGCTAACATAGATAAGAATAATGGCTTAATATAAATTATAAGAGTTCATAAGAAGCCTGAGCTAAAGGGCTAATCAGTTTATAACTTATGTAGACTCTCCATTTGATTTCTGTGAGACAAACGGCTGTGGGAACTGGGCAGGACAGAAACCCCAACAAACAGGCCCTCATGTTACAAATGGCGCCAATGTGTGGACAACTGCATCCACATAAACCCTGAGAGCTTGGGAAGTAATTCTGGACAGAAAAGAATAGAGCCTGGATGTTTGAGTTCTACATCCAGAACAGATTCAAGACTGCTGCCAGAGATGATGGAGACTCACAGGATACTCCAGTCAGGAGTTTATCATAATTCCAAATTTTCTTTAGGTCCCCAGAAGATTATCAGTGCCCCCAACCAGCAGAAAGTAGCCTGAAATACTATGCCCACATTCCCAATAAATGGACTATGGATATTTTTCTTTGTTTAAAAAAAAGGGGGGGGGGAGTGGTGTGGAACAATTCTGTATTCTGTCAATTATATTTTAAGTAAATGCTGATTGGCCAGTAGCCAGGCAGGAAGTAGAGGCAGGACAACCAGACAGGAAGTAGAGGTGGGGCAATGGGAACAGGAGACTTCTGGGAAGGAGGAAGACCATTCCTCCCCAGTCCTGTCCAGACACCAAAGAAGCAGGATGTAACCTGCCCTGTTGAAAAAGGTACTGAGCCATGTGGCTAACATAGATAAGAATAATGGGTTAATATAAGTTATAAGTGTTCATAAGAAGCCTGAGATAATGAGCCAATCAGTTTATAACTTATGTAGACTCTCTGTGTGATTTCTTTGAGACAAAGAGCTGTGTGAACTGGGCAGGACAGAAACCCAAACAAGCAGGCTGTCATGTAACATATGTTTGCTATGTTAACTTTTCATTATGAGATGTATATAAATACGGTTTTGTGGAGTACCTTTCAACGCACGGAATATATTTTTTAAAACTGTTTTTATAATTTTTAGGTGATTTCCAAAATCTGTAAGATATTCAAAGTTTAAGAATACATTGCTTACAGAAGGAAATTTTTAATGGAGAGTAAGCAGAATTACTAATGGCCCATCATCTGTATTCCAAGTGTCAGTTCATGTCAGGTGTAAACAACTAAGGGAATTCTAAAGGAAAATGCTAGGAAGAAATGATACAGCACAAAAGTATTTCAGCCATCACTTGTATCAATTGTATCTCCTATCTGTGCACTATCAAGGCATCTCCCAGTATCCTGAGCCAAGTCTTTCTTTCCTTTGTATCAAAGGTCTCACTTGGAGTCTTTCTTCTCTTTTACTTTCTTTTCACTCTCTGACTCTTCAAATAATTTCCATGTTTAGGGAGCTTAGCAGGGCCTCATTATCACAGAGCTAATTTGAATTCCCTTTATCTTTAGAATCACCAGCTGTAAGAAATGGCAAGCCAGAACCTCCATCTTATACTTTCTGTTATCCAATTTAC